ATACCAGAAGAAAAGCAAAAGGCTTTTTTAAAAGATGTTAAGTTTATGAGAGTATCATTACACACAGTGAATAAAGGCAAGTCCTGCTGCAGGGAAAAAGGCCACTCTATGATGAAGATGCAATTACTCCAAAAGCAATTAAAAAGCCAAATTACATTTTCCTAATGCCCACAGGAGAGAGATGTTAGATTTAGGAGACATGTCCTGTGGTGTGATGTAAAAGAGACTGCTTGGCTGTAATGAGCATCCTTACATTTGGAGGAAAATAGGGAAATTTGCGAGCTTGAGAACATCATTCCAACTGTGAAGCGAGAGAGGAGCAGCATCTTATATGGATGTTTTTCTGCAGGAGGAATTACTGAACTTCACAAAATAAACGGCAGCAGAAAATGGGCTGTATGTATTGTTCCCCTTAACTGTACTCTTATAATTGAAACTTCATTGTTTCCATTAGAGCTTGTTTAGATTGATCTGATTCTGAAGGAGGGCGTAATTACTCATTTATTACTCCTTGACCTCTGGGTTGAAAGACGAACAAATAAAAATCTCCTTATTGCCTGCTTCCATAAATGGATTAAACATTCTAGTTCGACATAAAATGTCTCATATATGGTAAACAGTCAAATGACTATTTGTTTCCTTCATTAAGCTAAAAGAAAACATAATACAGAACCTTAAATTCATCCTCACTGTTATGCTTGTGTCTTATCTTTATGATATGGCTGCACTGCCCCCTAGTGGTGCTAATGAGCACAGCAAGAAGCAGATGATATTGGCAGAGAGAAGATCTTTTCACACATATTAAACCCTGAAGCATTTCTGTCAGCCTTGGTGTAGAAATTTGAAAGGAAGAACATGATACAATAAAGTCCCACTTCATGAATTTCAAAGTTAGTGCACAAATAGAGGAAAAGTTCAACTCTTTAACAGGGTCATATGTCAGGCTGTGCGGTTTAAGTTGCCCTTTTTCGTTCAGTTTACCGTATGACTTTTGTTCCTCTTTCTCAAAATAGTTTGTGACTTTTGTTCTTATGACTTGCCTTTGACGCTTGCATTTATTTTAAGCATATGTTTAGACTCCAGAGAAACTGCAACTTGTCCTTTTTAAGAAATTTGAAGTTTTAAAACCCCCCAGGGTTTTTCAGGTAGTCACGTTCCAGCCACATACATCAAAGTATTTTTGAGACTTTATGGAATAAACTAACTCAAAGTAGAGTTTATATGTTAAGTGAAAGAAAACAGTTTTAATTTATTTGTACCTGTTTCTTTAGCAACTATGCTGGTTTAGAGACGTAAAGCCTCCTTTACACTCGGTCCTAGCAAAGTAACCAAGATAACTGTAAATGGAATGCACAGCTGAACCAAACCGCTTCAGACACAACCAAACCGTGCTAACATGGTGGTACTAGCTCATCTGTAGGGCTCAGCATGGTTCAGTTCTGGCTCGGTTCTCAGATAACAAAGCGTGTGAGCAGACCTTGTCATCTCCTTACAGTCATAACCGTGAAATTTCAGATATTCATTTGCCGTACTTCCAAAAAGCAGACTCTGTCAAGTAATTTCACCAAAGGCTGCCTTCTTCACCTGACTCTGACAACTTCTTGAATGTCACGGGCACCGCCATGTTGGTTTGCGTGTTTACCTCTAGAGCAGTATTACCATATGGTAAATGGCATGTACTTATATAGCGCTTTTTTCAAGTTAGGAGACTTGACCAAAGAGCTTTATACCACATTCATTCACCCATTCACGCACACACTCACACACTGATGGTTGCAAGCTACATTGTAGCCACAGCTGCCCTGGGGCTCACTGACAGAAGCGGGGCTGCCGTACACTGGCGCCACCGGGCCCTCTGACCACCATCAGTAGACTATGCAGGTGAAGTGTCTTGCCCAAGGACACAACGACAATGAAAGTCAGAGCCGGGGCTTAAACCGCCAACCCTTCGATTTCAGGGCAAACTCCAACATCCAACGCCACTGTCGCCCCATAGATCGTGACTAGGAGGCGAAGAACCGTGCTAGCATGGTGTGTAAATTAAAAACCAAGCTCGGCACTGTTAACTGATCGGTTTTCAGAGGGTAGAGTAAATGGGGCTTAAGAAGTAATTTCCCCTCGCATCCTGGCTCAAATTCAAGTTCTAGAGCAGCATCCCCTCAGCATGATGCTGCCAATACCACTTTTACCCTTGGGCTGGTTGTTTTTTGGAAAATTTTATTGTAAAAAAAAAAAAAAAAGAATGGGTGTGGTTAAACCATAAATCTGTGTTTATTTGTCTATGAAGCCAGAAAAGAAAATTTTGCAGAATAAAGTCAAATGGTTGGTGAGTGTTTTGTCTGTTTAAAAGTGTTCTTAACATATGAGTGTTTCTATTCCAGCTTCCAGACGGAGATTCAGACGGTGAACAAGCAGTTCCCAAGTGAACCCTTTAAATTCCTGGAGCCGACTCTTAGGCTGGAGTACACCGAGGCCTTGGCCATGCTTCGTGAGGCCGGTGTGGAGATGGGAGACGAAGATGACCTCAGGTCAGGTGACATCACACATGCTCTGCCCAGAAACGCCACGTTTTGTCAGATGATTTAATTTGGGCGAAAAAAAGCTGAAGTCAGTTTTAAAACCACTGAACAGTGCAGATATGAAACATGGACCTACCATTAATTAAATGTTTGTGATCAGAGGGCTTTCCTCTGAACTTTCCTACTGTAGCTGATTAGGTCATGAAAGAATGTGAGGCTGTGTGAAGTTGTGGCTCAGGGCAAATTAAACGTATATTTAAAGTCTGTGTTTTTTGTTTTTCTTCAGCACTCCTAATGAAAAGCTGCTCGGCCGTCTCGTCAAGGAAAAGGTTTGTGCAGTTTAATCTTTGAAAATCAGCCCATAAGCATGAAATAATCAGATCAGCTTGATGAACAACTGATGTCTGTATTCATATCAAAGTGTGAAAAACATGAACCATGTTTTAGTCAAGTAACAAAAATATGTCCATTAATGTTCATGTTCCTCTTTTTTGCAGTATGATACTGACTTTTATGTGCTGGATAAGTACCCGCTGGCTGTTCGACCTTTTTACACCATGCCTGACCCAAACAACCCTGTAAGTTTCTCAGCTACGCATAAAATTCTTTTAAAAAAAACCCTATGAGCTAAACAACAAAAATAAACTTTTGCTTATCTACATCCGTAGATTTTCAAATATTACATTTCTGGAAGAAAAGTGGCTTCACTTAAAACCGAATAAACAAACATTGAACTCATGCAGTCGATGATAACACTAATTTACAGAAATGTTTGCTGTAAATATTTTGCTACCTTAATTTTGTACATTTTCATATTGCAGCTACAATTTTTAATGTCTTTAATGAGTTTACCAGATTAAAAAATAATGAATTAAAAGAATTAAATTTTATTCTATGCAATGAAAATTAAAGAAGTGTCTTATTTGATATGCTTTGTGCAAAGCTGGCTTTTTGAGAATTTATGGTTAGCAAGAATTTAAACAACCCAACCAGAAGTCCAGTTTACTGCTGGCTAGAAGGCGGGATAATGCAGAAATATTGGCTGAAGATGTTTCTAGTCAGATGGGAGCAAAATACTATATGTGGCAAAAAGTAACAATACAAACTGCTCTAAATGCACCATCCTATGGGGAGGATTTTCTTTAGCAGGGATAAGTAAGCTGATTAGAGGTGATGGGAAGATGGATGAAGATAAATACAGTTCAGCTCAGAAGACTTGAGATGGTCCCAGTAGGACAGCAGAAGTCATCATCCAGCCAGAGCTGCAACAGAGCTGAGCTGTTATTTGGATCAAATCATAGTTAATCATTGGAATGACATAATCAAAGTTTAGACCTAAAACCAACTGAGCATTTTTCAAGACTGGAAAATTGCTTATCCACTTCCTTCTTTATCCAATTTTATTCCAAACTCTTTTTTTTTTTTCTTGTTCTTAGAAAAGAACACAAATGTTTCTTTCCTTTGCCGCAGATGTTCAGCTGTGGTCATTTCACAAAGTGTAGACTCCAACTTTCTCTACTATTACAAAAAAAAAGTATTCCACAATTCCGTTATTTTTCACTTATGCACCTACTATAAGTTAATTTATCTCAGAAAATCCTAATCAAATATGCAAAAGCTTTGTGGTGCAAAATGTAATATGGGTCAGGAGTCATAAATACTTTCACACAATTGTGCTAATTTAAAAATATTTTATCTAAAGATAATGTTATATGTTTAATGTAGCTTTAGAAACATTTAACATGGCCTCTATTGATTAACAGATGTAATGGGATTCTTTTTTTTTTTTCTCCAAACAGAAATACTCCAACTCTTATGACATGTTCATGAGAGGAGAGGAGATCCTGTCTGGAGCTCAGAGAGTCCACGATGCTCAGCTGCTGACTGAAAGGGCTCTGCATCACCAGATTGGTAAGAAGTCCTGCAGTAGGTCTCATAACTTTAATGAATCTGAAAGGGATTGTCTCCCTCTACAGTTGAACGATGAGTATTACAACAGAAGAACTCTAAAAGGATTTGGGGGGTAATGTTTTATGGTGTCTTAACAAATATCTGCTGTCTGTTCTGATCCAGATCTGGACAAGATAAAGTCATACATTGACTCATTCCGTTATGGCGCTCCCCCACACGGCGGAGGAGGCATCGGTAAGGAGCTCATCCTCTTTTCCACTATAAGACCATAAGCTCCAATATGACTCTTTTTAGTTACTGACCAATCCTCCTTCACAGGTCTGGAGAGAGTCTGCATGCTGTATCTGGGTCTCCACAATGTGCGTCAGACCTCCATGTTCCCCCGTGACCCCAAGCGTCTCACACCCTGAGCACGGCGCTTTGTGAAAGAACTCCTCTGGACTATCGCAGAGGTTTTGGTGACGGAAACTACAACTAATCCACAGTTCAGGAATGGAGAATTAATACAAGTATCCACCCACTTTTTCTAACAGGCCAATAGAAATTTATCACTAAGAAGAATGAAGCAGCTGTAATAGAAAGTACTTTATTGATTTGTGTGCATAGTTTTCTAACAAGTAAACAGAGGCGTATCGTCAGGAAGTGGGCCAGAACACTCCCAGAGGAGGCTGCACACCTTTTATTCATCTTCTACCCAATAAGTGTTTAATTATGGAGAGATTAAACAACTTTAACACAGATCAGAGTCCTTTGTATTACTAGCAAAGAAATTCAGAATAATGCTTTTGGTTTTCAACAGTTTGCCTGTAACTACATGTATTTTGTAATTAACTGATGAAAAAAAAAAAAACTGCTGATTTAAAAAAAAAAAACAATTTGTTGGAAATTAAAAAAAAAAAGTTGAGAAAATAATTTTTGATTGGATTCGAAGTTAGCTTATATACACATAAAATTAAAAATGTTAAAATAAAGCAAATCAGTGCCTTCCATCAACCACAGTCTGTTGGGAGTAAAAGCCTCCGATCTGCAGCCCCGCTCCAAGGAGAGCATCAAAGTTTTTCAGTGTTCACTGATATGAATGAAACTACACTAAAGTTTACGTATTTGTGAAAAGTTTTCACACAAAGTTTGTTTTTTTATCTGTTCACATCGGTAATTGTGAGACCGTTGCCAAAAACACTCTGTACATCAAGACTTCACTGATGTTAAGACGTTGCTGGATGATTGCTTTACTCTGTTGCTGCTCCGCTGATCTGCAGGATGAACAGGAAGATGTGAACAATATCGACGTAGAGAGAGAGCGCTCCGTAGATGTACTCCTCTGGGCTGATGGCCAACTCTCGATTCCCAATAAGAAGCTGGGTGTTGTACACTAAAAACTGAGAAATGAAGAAAACAAAAGTTTTACATGAAACATTAAAAATGCATCCGCTTTAATGAGGACATTTTTATTCAGGCAAATAACTGCTGTGTGATTTTGCAAAGAAGAATCTGAAAAATGTGTATAGGTGTTGTAGTCAGCCTGTTTTAGTGTGCCTCCAGATAAAATTAAACACAGGTTGCGGTGAGAAGTCACCTTATTTTTTCTGTGTTTAATTTATCAGCATTAAATATAGCTGTTTTGTGTGGGTCTGACATTTGTTAGGGAACATAACTGAACTAATGGTGTCATGAAAACAATGAGCACAGCAGGCAAGTCTGCTGTGCTCATAGTAAAAAAAAAAAAAACAGCTTCCAAAGCAATATAAGCTTTAAAGATGAATCGTTCAACAGAATAATTAGAAATATGCTACAAAACCGCGGCCTGGCTGTTCACTGAAAGAAGCTGCAGAAATCCACAGTTCAAGCTAGATCTCCGTCAGCAGGACTTTTATCATTTGGCAAATTTGTGCTTCACAACTTGAACAAAATAACTTGAAGAGACAGGGAAGCTGGATTGATCTAAATATGTGGGTAGTTCTAAATGGGAGGCCAGTACAGAATGGACCCTGGCCCCTATTCTGAAATCATAAACTTAAAAATGTTAAATGCAAGTCAATTATTCATAAATAGATGGCTACAACTTTGATCTAAGCAGCAAGACTATTTGCATACAGAATAAGACGATTTGTTAAAAATAAACCTTTCAAGTAAACGGTCTCTATTTACTTTTGCTCTAAGGCCAAAACCCTCCTTTGGTAGAGCATCTTATTTACTCGCTCAAATTATGGGCAAATATACTAAGAAACTTTTACCTTTTAGATCAGTTTTTGCAGTACAATACTAAATCAATTTATTATGATGTGCGCTAACTATAGACACTAAATGATTTGTCCCCAAGACCATTTTAATATTTCCTCATAACAATTTAGAAAAATTATTTAGATAGAACGAGGTTGTAGGTTACTTTATAAACTTAAAAAAAAAAAAGATATGTTCTTGTTTTTTTTTGTGTGTGTGAAATTGCAACGTTTTGGCTGCTACCTATAGCCTAGCATTTAGCTGCCGCCCCGATTCAACATTGAATTCTTTGTGATTTAACTCCATCTGACGGATCAAACCCTCGCCACTGCGTGCGTTGCGTCTGAGGTTGATTTTCAGATCAATGCATTACGTCGTGGCATACGGGAGAAACTAATTAAACTAGTTAAAAAAAGGATCATGGGTTAAGATCGGATGTGTTTTATTTGGAAATCTACCGGATCCTTTGTGCATTTAACTTCCTGTTTGGTGCGATCTCATTGATGGATTTTGACCAGATTTTGACCAAAGAGGAACTCAAAAAAAACAAAACAATTCAAATACACAACCAGCATATCTGGAATCAGTGACAGAGAGCGACTGGGTCCAGAAGTTTATTAATTTCTCCCCATTGATTTCCATTCAAAATGTTTTCGATCCCACCGGGCTCTAGGAAGGGGCGTGCATACCGCCACCTACTGTTCATGAGTGTGTAGCAACGTTGTTTTACATCTATTAAATTCTATTTTTTAATTTTGTATTCTGAAGATAAATAAATAATGCTTTCCTTAATCTATAAATATCTTTTATATTTCCTTTATTTCCCAATAATCCTTTAAGACTCCATTCTTGGCCTGTCCTTTCAACTCTTTTCAATTTCTTCCTTTCAGGTCCAGATGTTTTAAAGTTCATCAATACATGTTCTACATTTTCTATCTAACCACATCCTTCACCTTTATCATTATTTTTCTTCCCTATTAGGTATAAATTGTCATTTAAATAAGTATGACCTACTCTTAATCTCATCATTATTATTTCTTCCCTTCGGTTTCTCTCATTAATATTTCTATTTAATACTGACTTTTGTACTTTATATAACCTTCTTCCTTTTTATCTTCATTCCACCTTTTTTTTTGTCATTTTTCAATTTCTTTCCTCTTAATAAATGATTTTCCTTCCCCTTTCCCTAAAGGAATTGTAATTGTTATTTGTCTACTTTTCATTCCACCTAACTTTCCATTAATTAGCTTGAAAACAGCACTTTGTAGGCACCCAGTTTCTCTAACAATGGCCCTTTTTGGGTTACCCTCCATGCATTGGGTGTCAGTTCAGTGGCAGTTCCAGAACATTTTCTTAGGGTTGACCAGGCGGTACAATAATGTGCATGTGGCCAAAAAGTAATAGGGATCAAATTCGGTTCAGAGTCAAGCTATTGGGATCAGGCATCAGGTTCAATTTGCATATTTTCTTAGCCAAAACAAGGATTTGTTGGGCTACTGTAATTTTTAATTGAAAAACGTCCGGAAGTCTTCAAACTTGAAAAACAAAGTCCAAAGTTTTTTGTTTTTTTTTGGAATGATTATGACCTGGATGTCTAAGAATCTTCACCAGCTTATCAGGGAAATGAATGCCCACAATGTCTATATTCTCCAAAAGAGAATAACAGAGCAGACCTTCATGAGGCCCTTGTTAAAGCTATGCACATATTTATGCATCTATGCTCTTCAAATAACTTTCTGGTTCGACGCAACATTTACATTAAATGGGTTGAGAGGTTTTTCTTTACCAGTAAATACATGAAAGATTCCCAGATGACTGCCGATACAAACTCTCCCCTATAAAACCTAAAACTAATTCTTATAAGAGAGTAAAATCTGTATTAGTCTTCATTAAATGTAGCATATTGTTGTAAATAATCGATTGCTTTATTTTTGGTGTCAGCTTTTGGTCAATATGCTAACCTTAAAAGGTCAAAGTGGGAAAATGTACCCCCACTACGGGTAGTAGTGGGGTAGTAGTAGACAAATTAGCAATTAGAGGAGGCAATAACAATTACAATTCCTTTAGGGAAAGGAAAATCATTTATTAAGAGGAAAGAAATTGAAAAATGGCAAAAAAGGTGGAATGAAGATAAAAAAGGAAGAAGGTTATATAAAGTACAAAAGTCAGTATTAAATAGAAATATTAATTAGAGAAACCAAAGGGAAGAAATAATAATGATCAGATTAAGAGTAGGTCATACTTATTTAAATGACAATTTATACTTAATAGGGAGGAAAAATAATGATAAATGTGAAGGATGTGGAGAGATAGAAAATGTAGAACATGTATTGATGAACTTTAAAACATCTGGACCTGAAAGGAAGAAATTGAAAAGAGTTGAAAGGACAGGCCAAGAATGGAGTCTTAAAGGATTATTGGGAAATAAAGGAAATATAAAAGATATTTATTGATTAAGGAAAGCATTATTTATTTATCTTCAGAATACAAAATTAAAAAATAGAATTTAATAGATGTAAAACAATGTTGCTACACACTCATGAACAGTAGGTGGCGGTATGCACGCCCCTTCCCTAGAGCCCGGTGGGATCGAAAACATTTTGAATGGAAATCAATGGGGAGAAATTAATAAACTTCTGGTCCCGGTCGCTCTCTGTCAGTGATTCCAGATATGCTGGTTGTGTATTCAAATTGTTTTTTTTTTTTTTAGTTCCTCTTTGGTCAAAATCCATCAATGAGATCGCACCAAACAGGAAGTGAAATGCACAAAGGATCCGGTAGATTTCCAAATAAAACACATCCGATCTTAACCCATGATCCTTTTTTTAACTAGTTTAATTAGTTTCTCCCGTATGCCACGACGTAATACATTGATCTGAAAATCAACCTCAGACGCAACGCACGCAGTGGCGAGGGTTTGATCCGTCAGATGGAGTTAAATCACAAAGAATTCAATGTTGAATCGGGGCGGCAGCTAAATGCTAGGCGATGGGTAGCAGCCAAAACGTTGCAATTTCACATAATCCTGACGAGATCCGAAAAACGTAGCAAAAACTAGCAAGCGGGTGATTATGTATGTTCACTAAGTAAATATTATGTAAATAAACCCTACACTTCTCGCTATAAATGTAATCAAAACCCATTTAAATGCAGAAACTGAGCGAATGTCGGCCATCTATATATATATTTTTTCTTCTCCCAGCTGGAATCTTGAAAGTCACGTGACTAGGACGTAAAACAATAGAAAGCGTATAGGCAGAAGAAACGTAACAGTACCACAAAAAAATGGCCATTAATGTACCTCCACTACGTTTTGCAGTGTGGACCAACGTAGTGGGGGTACATTTTCCCATGAGACTGGGTTGTCAGTATCGTCTAGAACCACCTCTGGCTAACTACATTGCAGTCTAGAAGAAAACCTTTTGGAGGTAGAGCAGGTAATGACCCTGAAGCAGAGGTTCACCCTCCAACAGGACAACAATCCTCAATATACAGATCTGCAGCAGAACGGTCTTTTGTCTCTGATTCCGACCAGAACAAAATCATTCACTAAAATCATTACAAATAAAAAATTTTCAGGTTCTCATGAGAAAATTGATTCCTTTCTGTACATTTTCAGTTGTCCCTGTCCCACAGAACCCCAACAAAATACTTGGAAGTATGCATTCCATAACGCTTTTTATTATCAGGCATATCAACATACTTGATCTAGAAATTTTAATTAGTATGCAGTAAAACAATGCACCTATTTTAGGGTTGCACTATGTTGTTATTCCTGTAAAACTTTCTAAAAATACACTAATTAAATTTAGCCCTAAAAAAGAAAATCCCAAGCTTCTAACATTCCAGAAAAATCTAATTTCAATGGTTTATTATCTGTTCTCAATGTAATCTGAATCAATTTAAGACTAAACACAACACTGAGGGTCTCTCCTTAAAATATGACTGCGTTCACTCACCAGAGTGTAAACGACAGCTCCGATTGCAGCATACAGCATGTGCAGCCAGGGGACCTGTGGAGTGACACAAGAAGGGCCTCTGAATGTAAAAATTGGTAACACATCACACTCAGTTTGAGCTGCTGTTGAAGCTAGAATATGTTAAAGGACTTGACCAAAGAGTCCTCACATATTGGAAGGAGAGCACGATGGCTGTAACGATCCCAATGATCATGAGCAAAACAGAAGCGATGCAGAGAAACCCGCTGCAGGAGGTGAAGTCCACCTGTGATTAGAAGCAAGTCATTAACAGTATGAAAGGAAGCCTCAAGCTTCAAAACGCACACAAAGAAGCAGTGAAAATATGCTTATTTTTTCCTTATCCTTTTTAAGTGAGAGATTTTACATAAAAAAAACTTGGCTTGTTCTGGCAAGCACTAGCCAAAACATGCAACTTGCATATCTGGAGTTGCATCAGACAGGATTCACATCTAATCCCAAAATGTTATGAATATTTAAAGGAGCTCAGGGCTCCGTTGTAATGTGAGACAAAGGAGTTCTTTTACACTGACAACAAAGGCCTCCTCTGACAGCCCACAGGCTGCTGAACCGCAGAAGAAAATCATCCTCAGCTACCTTCGTCTGGAAGCAGAAGACTGTCACTGCGATGCATACTATCGCTGTTATTCCCATGGCGATAATCACCGCTTTGGTCTCATAAAAGCTGAAAAACATAAACATTGTGTTTAAGACAGAATAACTGTAGGTTTGTAAAAGCATGCTACTCTTTGAACTTCTGTAGATTTTGGCATGCATCAACCACAAGTTTCAACTTATCTTTTTATGATTTTATGTCAAAGGAAAATGAAGCATTGCTTTCCTATTTGACAGCAAATAAAATTCCCCTTTGCTCTGAAACCCATAATTGAAATACGGTGGAACCAATCGCACAAAATAGTATTTTAATTAGTAAATACTGTCCCCCCTACCAAGTTATGGCCATCCATCTAAGCTGATTATTTGGATATGGAGAGCATTATAACTTCAGGGGAGCTGTAGCTAAGGTTTGACTCCTTTATTGGAAAGTTAAGTGTTTACATAAAGTCATAATATCTTCATCTTGCAGTTTTTATCTTGCAAGTAAAAATCTGTGGGACAAAGCTGCACATCATCCTGAACAAAGATCAATTTGAAGCATGGGAGAGATGGAACAATAGTTCTTTTTTTAGAAAGATGCAGACAGGGATCTATCTGAATTGATGGGATGATGTAGGCAGCTGAGTTCAGTGTAATACTGGAGCAAACCATGTTAGATGCTGCTACAAGAAAAAAAATCCCAACGTATATAATAAAAACAATGCAATGGTTAAACACATTAGAACAAAGAAAATAAGTGAGAAGACTCCAACTGAAAAAAAAAAAATGCAAAAACTGGAACAAAACCCACACAAATCACTATAGGTACAGCAATATGTGGCTTTACAAAGCAGTTACTAAGCAAAAGAGCTGAATGGTCCACTTCCACTGTAGTATTGGCCATTGGTAAATATTTTGCAAGCCATGTATAATTTTCAGCCCGGTTAATTAATTATAGAATGTTTCATGCGGGCTTTGACAGAAATCTTTATAAAATACGTTGAGGTTTGTGGCTTTAACATGGCAACATGTAAGGAAAACGTGTTATAGTCCACTGCAGAAAAAGTTGAAAACAAACCTTGAAACTGATCCAGCCATTAAAGATAAGGCAATGGTCTGAAAAATAAAAAATGACAAGGGATTTTTTTTTCCCCCACTTGTTTTCAATGAACTACATTTTTTATGCTTCCATCTCTGTGGCTGCCAATATTTGGCCCAAACTCTAACTCCTCACCCACGGTTTGGATTCCTTACAAATACTTACAAATATTCCCAGCAGCACCAGATTCAATGGGAAATGCCTCCTACACAAGAATGAAACAAAATCATTATATATATATATATATATATATATATAACAACAAAAAATATATTTTTTAATAAAGCCTTATCTGGAAAACAAGCTTTGCTCTACCTTGGCTCTTTGCAGCAGATGAGAATACAATACACCAGAAAGAACACAACACTAGGGAGATAAATCATGAATGTGGTTTTGAGGCACTAAACACAAATTGACATAAATAATTTGGTTTAATATCAGTCAGATTTTATCTCTTTCTAATCATTTAACTGTCTAAAGTTAAGTTTATTGAAGGTAACTCACAAAGAAGCCCAGTACAGGGCTGGGAATTTAATGACAAACTCCTTCACTGGATCACTGTGAAACAGACAACATGGTCACCAGAGACTTTCTTTTAATCTGCAACACTAAGCAGCTAGAAGTGGTAATTGACTGGAATCAATAGGGAGACTTACACAAAGGTAAATACAGCAACGACTGCAAAGGTGACAGCAAGCTGCATTGTCAAAATCAAGTAAACCTGCCCACAAACACTTAGGTTAGATTCAAAGAGCTGTTAACCCTGAACAACAGAAATACAATGTTTGTCTCTGAATGAGGCAAAGAGGATCAAGGCAAGTCCTTACTTTTCTGATAAAGGCATGTCGAATGGAGGTGGTCTCCCACTGGTTACTGATGAAGTCATCCATTTCTCCTGCAGAATTGAAAATAAATGTTTTTTAAACTTCAGAAGATCATTTTAATAGAAGTGAGTGATGAAAGCCTGTGTAAGCTCCGGGGAACCTGGGCTGGATGCAGGCAGTCCTGCTGACAGGGTGGGGATGGGCACGATAGGCTGAGAGAAGCCAGGGCCTGGACACATGCCGGCCTGTGGGTAGACGCCCCCCTGGCTGCAGTAGCTAGGCGGGCCGAGGCAAGCGGAGGGACTGGGGCTGTAAGATGGAGGAGGGGTAAGAGGGGTGCCATGTTGTGTCTGGAAGGGATAATTAACAGTCTTAGGATGCTGCAGGGCATCCTCATAGGATGGAGGAGAATCCGTTTTGGAAGACATTTTTCTGGACCACCTTAAGGAGAAGAAAAACAGGCAGATCAGCGTTAAACCTGTCATGTCTTTCTCTGATTACTTTATAACTCATCCTGAAATGAACACATTCTAAGTACACAGTGAAAGGTTGCTGTGTGTGCTTGTTTTATTTAGAAAATTAAAACTTATATATCACTTATATAAGTGATATATAAGTTCGCTTATGCCAGAGCCGGCCCGAGCCTCTTGGGGGCCCTAAGCAGAATTTGATTTGGGGGCCCCCCCTCCTACCATGCAGAATAACCTATACTAGAAGATTACTGACACAAATGTCACTCTATAATGTTACAGTGAATATTAAAAATGAATAGACTATGGTAATGTATTAATACAAAATAAATAAACAATACTTACAATACTTTGTTTTATTAAACCTTTTGAATACAAACATTAAATAACTTATTTGCAAATGTGCATTAAATGTGCAATATTTTAAATAAAACCAATATAGACAAACATTAATATCAAAAATAGAATGTTACAAAAACAGATACTTAAATAAGGAAAGCAAACAAAAAAACAGCAAGGGTTCAACAATGAATTGTACAACAATACCCTCAAAATCGTTCCTTCCTAGCTTTTCTGGAGGCAAAGTCACTGATGACATCATTGTATGGTATTGCTTGGCCAACTTTGTTATTAATACTAATGACTGCAAGTCCACTTAGTCTTTCCTGGGCCATTGATGATCTCAAGTATGATTTTATTAATTTGAGCTTGGAAAAGCTCCTCTCTGCTGAGGCAACTGTCACAGGCAGAGTGCAGGCTATCCTGAGAGCTACCCAAAGATTTGGGTAAAGCTCAAACATCTCATTTTGTGAGAGGTATGTGAGAAGCTCAAAGGCAGTCTTCATAGTTTGGGGAAGTTCAGGAAGACTCTCTATCTCTAATGCCAGTGCGCTACCATCAATATCAGCCTCCTCTCCACAAGTGAGTTTTCCGCAAGAAGCTCACATTGTTCCCTCCGGACTTTTTGATCAAGCTCCCTAAAATTGAGCAGCACTCCAAAGTTATCTTTAACCTCACTTAGAGATGTAAATCTATCCTCCAATGACTGAATGCTACAATCCACTACGGCATTAAAAAATGATACTTCAAGCCTCTTCATAGCATCCACTATAGGCTCATCTGCAGCCTCATAGGCAAAGTGCCTTTTTGTAGAACGCAATCGCTTCTCTTTCAGCACTGCTTCTGTGTTCATCCGCTCACAAATTTCTTTAGCAGATGCCTGTGCATCACAGAAGCCTGTTTTTCGGTAACTGATAAGTTCACCTTTGTTCTTTTTTAGAAGGTTAACTGCTACATCAAGCTGCATGTTTTTTGACTGTAGAAGCTTGCTCGTGATGTTAATTTTAGACAAAATGTCATACCAGACAACACAACAAATCTGGAACCTAAATGAACCTATCTCTTCCGCAAGCGAGTTGGCTTCAACAGCCACTACAGGGTCAGTCGCTTTGCTTCTCACTTCTAGCAGGGCTTCCCTCACCTTCTCTGACTGGTACCGCAAAGCTTCAATGCTTTTTATCCTGCTTTCGAACATTGATATATAAGTTATATATCAATGTTCACACAAAAAAGGACAAGAGAAAGATTGACAAAAGAAAACGGATAAGGAAACTATTAGACAGGTCAAAGCAACATTATCAGCATAATCAGTCATAGATAATGCAATAAAATACAGAAGTTAATTTTCATTTTGGGATTATACTTAGTTAGGGAAACAAACTTTGCAAATCAACCTTGTCCCTTTTGAAGAAGAGATATGAAAGAGAGTCTTTCATATCATGGTAAAGGAATTTTCTGTCCTTTTTTGAGAAATTAATTTACACTATGCTAAAATATAACTAATGCATTTAAGTCCAGGCTTTGACTAGGCCACTGGGTCATAACCTTTTAGTAGTGTGGGTGCCAAAATCTAAGAGCACAGACTCACTGCCCTTTATGATTTTTTTTTTTTTTTTGAGAGGAGGTAATTAATAGTTCCATCAACTATGACAAGATGGCTGAGGTCCTGAAGCTGCAAAAAAATATGTTTGACTTTGGGTATGACGTTCTTATAATGGAATAGAAGCAAGATGCACTCCTTTAAACATGTCATTTTTGTCTGAGAACAGAGTATTTCCCCCAAAGGTTTGGGGATCCTAAAGAGGATTTCTTGTAAAAGTAAGATGTGCCTTCTCGTCTTTATTGTTCTTTGTCTTTGTTTACATACTAAAATTAGTTTGATTATCTGAAATATTTTAGTTTGACAAAAATCTAAAACATAAGTGATATAATCATAAAAAATGAAGTGAAAGATCAAATATACATTTGTGTATATATAAAATATAATCTAATGTAATGTTACAGTGTTATTGTTATTTGATACTTGCCATTATGTTTAACTTGCATTTGTTTATTCTAAATATTCACATTCCTGTATTTATTCATGTTAACTATATGTTTGCTTGTTTATTTGTAACACCTCATCACAAAAGCAAATTCTTTATATCTATAAATACGACTTAGCTATAAAGTATTTCTGAAAGCTGTTAAAAAATAAATGAAAAATTAATAAAGGAAAAAAACAGTAATAATACACAGGAATATAAAGAAATAAAAAGCAACACTTGTTTATTGTTTAATTAGTGGTCATTTTGTAATGGTTGAAGTTTAGCTATAGGCTTGTTTTGAAAACCGAAACAGTCAGCTGCCCTAATACATTCAGGCTGTAACCAAGAAGAAGGCAGAAATAAGAAACTGATGTCTCAACTTGAATCTTATTTCTCTCTGTAGGCATGAACAAAACCTGTTTTACTGACAAATTGAGGGAAGGAATGGAAATGCAATAAATAGATTGGTGTAAGAACATTATTGTTTTAAATAAACAATATAAACACTTTAAATCTGATGCAAAAAATGCACCTAATAGCAATGCAGAGATCTTGAAAAACAATGAGCTTATTTTCTGGACCTTGTCAGTGATATTGCAGCTGGATTTTAGAGTAACAGTAGAGAAGCTGTTATTTATTTATTATTTTTCGGAGAACCATGACTACAGAAGTAATTTTTTTTTTAAATATGTTGGATTTTTTTTTCATACATTTATTTAGGTCTATTATTCTTGTAATATTTTAAGAAAGCATGATACATTTAAACTCTTCTTTGTTTCTAAGTTTAGTCTACACAAGTTCATTAAATTAATTACAAATATGAACTTACCTTTTTTGGCCTGAGCCTGTGATGGGAGCAGAGCCCCTCCGTCCCTCTCTGTTCAGAGGTATGGCTCTGATCACAGGGACAAGTCCTCCATGTAACTGGATATGTTCACTGAAACTAACCCTGCTGCTCTGAGAAAGTATGCCAACTGGTGCAGACATTAGGCATTCATCGTTTACTTTAACAAAATGCATCCAAAAATACATGCAAAATAAAACAAATAAAAAAGTTATTAGAGTTTACAAACAGACACCTGGTGTTTCTTTCTTTTTTTCCTTGACTCTTCTTTTCAAGAATCCCAAAGTTTTTTTCATGAATGTCATGTTAATTTTCTTACGAAGATAAATATACATTTTAAAGTCATAGTTATGAGATGCAAAGTCCAAACTGCAAACTCCAGTATCTTATTGATGTTTTTTGGGGAGATCTAAATATTGTATTGAGCTTCTAACTCTTAAAATATAATTGTGAAGTAATGTGAATTAGTTTTAGAATCAGAATTATGCGTTTCCAATTTGTAATTATGAAATTGACAGTAATAATTGTGAGTTTCAGCACCAAATTATTAGTTCTAAATGGACTCTAAATAGATTTATTTATTTTTATTCTTATTTTTTTATGATTTAATAGATTTAATGGAAAAATAGAACTGAATACTGAACTATCAAAACTACGGAAGAGGATTAGGGCCACTGAAAAAATAAAAACAAATTAACTGATTTTTATATTTTATTTCAGTATAATATGAGAAAAAAAGTCAGAATTCTGAGTTTAATCTAAGAATTCTGACTTTTATCTCAGAATGTTGGATTTTACAGTTTTTTTGGATTGCTTACACACTAAAGTTAAAAGTAGAACACTATTAGCAAAACGTTACACCCAAGAAGCAAAACATCAGCCCTTATTTGCACAACTATAAGCACATTGTCAACCTCACACTTGTTGCAAAACTCTACACACAGTGATTTGCAAAACACTAAACACACTTAACATACAGTACACACAAAAATCTATTATGAAGTCACTTCCTTGCAATACCAAAGCACTGACTGTCAAATTACCACACCTTCCAACCAATTGATTCAACACAGTCATCAGGTGTGCAAACACTTGTTTGCTTAATTGTAGACACACCAATCAGGTGTATAAGCACTATAAAAAGCAGCAGGTGAGTTCATCGGTCTTCAAGCACAATGGAAAGAGTCAGAGAAATAGTAAGACGAGGTGGAGGACGAGGTGGAGGAGAAGGACAAGGAGGAAGAGAAGGAAGGGGAGGAAGAGGAATCAACAGAGGAGGAATCAACGGAAGAGGAAGAGATGGAGGCCATGCTGGAGGTACAGGTAGAGGAAGAGGAAGACAAGAACGTGCTCAAAGAGGACCGAATCTGACAAATGAGATCCGTGCAACACTGGTTTACCACGCTGTCAACCACGGCCTGACGCTGAGGGAGGCTGGACTGCGAGTACAGCCAAATCTAAGCCGATACACAGTGACAAGTGTGATAAGAACATTTCGACTGGAAAATAGGTATTGTAAAAATATCATCATATCAAAAACATCTGCACGGTTTCAGCAACTGCTTACAGTACTGTATTCTATGCACTATCAGCACTTCTGTTACATTTTCCTGTGAAATTACTGTACTATTGTTTACTGTTTTTTTTTTTTTCTACATAGGATTGAGGGTCAGGAACAATGAGGGGGAAGGCCTCCTATGTTCACAGAACATCAAGAGGGGGAGATAGTAAACATGGTTTGGGCCAACAATGCTATAACCCTCAATCAGCTCCAAGCTAACATTTTCAATAACCATGTCGATTTCAACAATATCCTTCAGGTCTCAACATCAACACTGGCACGCATCCTAACAAAAAAACATATTCAAATGAAGAAAATTTATCGAGTGCCTTTAGATCGCAATTCCAAAAGGGTGAAACGACTGCGGCATGATTATGCAGAGGTATGTATTCACCTAAGCATTGTGATCTTGCATACTTTCTAATAATCTTTTACTGTACTGTAATATGTATACTAGATCTACACTGAACACAATTTTGCCTGACACTGTTCTTCAGAGAGTTTTACAAATGCATTGAGAGGAGATCCAGCATGAGTTTATCTACGTAGATGAGGCTGGGTTCAACCTGACGAAAACACGAAGGAGGGGAAGAAACATCATTGGCCACAGGGCTATAGTCAATGTCCCAGGGCAACGTGGGGGTAATATAACACTCTGTGCAGCCATTACACAGAATGGGGTCCTCCACCGCCATGCCCATATGGGCCCTTACAACACAGCACTCATACTTACATTCTTGGACCAATTGCACAACATAACAGCAGCAAATCAAATCGATCATATGCAATACATTGTTGTCTGGGACAATGTTTCTTTCCACCGCTCTGCTCTGGTTCAGAACTGGTTTCAGCAACATCCACATTTCACCGTCCTATATCTTCCACCATACTCTCCATTTCTCAACCCTATAGAAGAGTTTTTCTCGGCATGGTGGTGGAAGGTATATGATCTCCGTCTCCAGGCTGAGGTACCCCTCATCCAAGCCATGGAGGAGGCCTGTGACCAGATGGAGGTAGCAGCAATTCAAGGATGGATTCGTCATTCAAGACGTTTCTTTCCAAGGTGTCTTGCTAATGACGACATTGCCTGCGATGTTGATGAAATTCTCTGGCCAGATCCAGCTAGGCGAAGAGACAATGTCTAGTTTTTGTTTTGTTGTTTTACAGTAAAATTACAGTACAATACGTAAAGTGACATTTTGTTACAGTATTACAGTTTTTTCTGAATGCTTAAGCGCTAATCGTGATTCATGTAGCACAATTTCTAAAACTATTAATACGTATAGCAAAACCACTCACTGAGTTTGCAAAACTAAAAGCACAAACACTGCATTGCACTCAGTTTGCAATTTTGTAACACACATTTTGCAAAACTGTAGGCACAATTCACTGCACAACACTCTATTACCACATTTCCAACACACTCCTAGTAAAATCATACACATGTATGGCTATCATTAACACTATTTTGCCAACTGTCTGGCACACTTTCACATGTGAAAACTGTTTTAGATAATTAGTTCACTTTGCAATCAGCCTAAGCACTATAAATAATAATAATTGATAATGACACCATCTTTCAAAATAGGCAATAAGCATTTCTTCATGAAGTCGTGTACTTGCACGCCACAGAATAAGAATGAAACAAATTTACAGAGTTCCTTTCGAGAGAAACACAGAACATGTAAAGCAACTGTGATATGACTATGTGCAGGTAAGCTATAGTGTCAATGGTTCTGAATTTGGAAGTGCATACTGTAGTGCTGTGCATGGGCCTGATGTGATGCATTTGTTTTGTCTTATCCAGAGAGAGATGGAACTAGAAGCAGATGCCATGGGACTTGAGCTACTTTTTGTAGATGAAGCTGGTTTATCCTCAGTAAAACCAGGAGACGTGACAGAAACATTATTGGACATAACCAATACATAACATAACCATGTGTGCAGCTATAAGCCAAAATGGTGTTGTTCACCATCATGCAACCATAGGCCCATACAGCTCTGCACACATTATTGCATTCCTGGACACCTTACATGACATGCTCACTGTTCAGAGACCAGAGCATACCCAATATGTCATCATATGGGACAATGTTAATTTCCATAGGGCTGCTTTGGTCCGCAACTGGTTTACAGACCACCCATTCTTCATGGCACTCAACCTGCCTCCATACTCTCCATTCTTAAATCCCATCGAGGAGTTCTTCTCTGCCTGGCGCTGGAAAGTGTACGACCGTCATCCTCATCAACAGGTAGCCCTTTTACAGGCAATGGAGGGGGCATGTGGAGATATTGACCAGGCATCATGTCAGGCCTGCATACGGCATTCAAGGAGATAATTTCCCCGGTGCCTTGGACTGGAGGATATTGCATGCAATGTGGACGAAATTTTGTGGCCGGACCCAGGAAGACGACATGATGAGGCTGATTGTTTTTTTTGTTTTTTGTGAAATTACTATTTTGTGTTCTGACTTTGTCTTGGTTTTGATGAGTGTGAATAAACAGCAATACTTGAAATTTGGAACCTTATATGTTTACATGACACTATGACAAAAGTATGACCTCAAATTGACATCTGTACACAGAGAAACAGAAATCCAAATGTGTTTTGTATTCATACCATCAGTGTGTAGTTGGCACATTGTGTGCTTAGTAGATGATGGCTTGTGTTTACTGTCTGATACGAAAACACAATTTTTACAAAGGTGTGCAGAGTTAATCTAGCTGTGTTCGCTTTTGCAAGAGAACTGCAATGTTTTGATAATTGGGTGAAAGGTTTTCTTATTTGTGTGTAGAGTTTTGCAAAAATAGCCAATAGTTACAAAAAATGTGCTTAAGCAATCAGAAAAAACTGTATGAATCTCAATGTCCTGTTTTTATCTACCTGTACAGTGTCCTTGGGTGTTGTGATAAGGCGCTTTCAAATAAAATGTATTATTATTAACATTTTGGGCGTGTTGAGAAATAAATGAGTTTCTTCAGTGTGCAACATTGGTCTTGTTTAGTGTTTGGTGAATTTACATTATATTTGTACTTTGTTGATGGTAGCCAACTCTAATCATAGGGAAGTAGAAGTTCTAAAAGTGTTTTAGGTTTATCACAGCAGAGTGTAACTCGTGCAAACAGAGTATAGTAATGTGAAACCTGTGTGTTTCATATGGTAACAAAGTGTGGTTTTTAAACAGAAGTGTATAGTTTTTACAAGAGTGTTTAATTATGCAAAGGATCTGTAGTGTTTTGCTAATTGGGTGTGTGGTTGTGCTAATTGTGTGTAGTGTTTTGAAAACACAGGCCCTGTTTTGAAAATCGTGCTTAAGCAATCTAAAAAAACTGTAATGTAGATGGGCACCATGAAGGAAGAGATGTGACAAAGATGTGAATTGTTTGCAAGGGATGGTACAACATTAGTGGAAAATTACGGAAATAGGCGACTTTCTACATGATGCTATTTAACACAACGATGCTATTTAATGTAAGGGCAGAAGGCGATTAAAACAAGAGAGCCAGTTTAGTCTTTAAAACAGACATGGCTTGATGCTAACATGTTAGTAAGCTGTCAGAATTCGGTCAGAATTCTAAGATCAAAGTCGGAATTCTGAGATCAAAGTCGGAATAGTGAGAAAAAAGTCGGAATTCTGAGATTAAAGTCGGAATTCTGAGATTAAAGTCGGAATTCTGAGAAAAAGTCAGAATTCTGATATTGTCAGAATTCTGACTACACATGTCTGAGATTAAAGTCAAATTTCTGCAAAAAAAAAGTCAGAATTCTGTGAAAAAAGTCAGAATTGTGAGAAAAAAGTCGGAATTCTTAGATTAAAGTCGGAATCCTGAGATTAAAGTCAGAATTCTGACGTTAGAATTCTGAGATTGAAGTCAAATTTCTGCAAAAAAAGTCAGAACTCTGAGATTAAAGCCTGAATTCTGAGATTGAAGTCAGAATTCTGAGAAAAAAGTGAGAATTCATAGATTGAAGTCAGAATTCTGACTTTAATTTAAAAAAAAATGTAAAAATCAGTTAACTTGTTTTCAGTAGCCCTAATCCCCTTCCGTACGAAACTGAAAAAAGTACAAATTTTCTTTTCAATTTTTAAAAAGAAATCGTGGAAATATTAATATATATATATATATATGAAAAGCAGATATTTTTGATAAACTCGTGTGTCTGAATAAAAAAATCGCTTTTTTTCTCCGCCTATCGCTTTCAGAGCACGTCATCGCTGCTACGTCATCACGTAGAGTTCAGACTACCTCAGGCTATGGCGCTTCCTGAGTGGATGTTTACGTCCGTGGTCGCTGCATCCTTCTTCTGTTTCTTCTGTTTATTTCTTCGGTACAGGCGGACCACGACAGCGTTTTGCTGGAAGCTAGTTAGCAGGATAATGGCTCGAACAGAGAAGCCGCTGTTCCGAATCGCGTAAGTAAACCTTCAGAAACCAGTTCCTGCAGCTGAGCAACATTTATTGTTTTAGTTGTTTTACTGATGGCATCCCATCTCTGTTGCGACTCGGGATGACTCCAGATGCTGGTTGCAAGTTTGTGACAACGACTAAAGGCTCGGGTATTTGTTTTCCTTCCAGATACACTCTTTACACGAGGACCAGACTGGGTTATATGTACTACAAGAGGCAAATGAGGAAAGCCAGGGAAAATTATCCTGCTGGACATTCTGCAACCCATCCCATGGAGTTTAACGGTACACGAACATTCAGTTATCCTACTGTCACCCATGGCAACCAAAACTTTAGTTTATTCTGTTAGAACCTAAGAAGATAATGATGATATAATAAAACCCTACCCCTTTACTCTAATACCCCTCTATAAAAAACTCAGTTTTTAATTTTTAATTTCTCTTTTTTATTCTAAATTGACCAAACAAATGCATCCATTACCCATGAATAGTCCATTACCCTAAATACAAAGAAATTGCATGACTGCAAACCCACCAAAAGTACCCTTGACTATCTAAATCAGGGTTCTGCAACCTGAGGCTCTGGAGCCATAAGTGGCTCTTTGCAATCTGTGTTTTGGCACTGAATAGTATCTTAAGTTATATAAAGAAGCAACTAATGTATTGTAATAAAAAATACCAGTCTTAGAAGCTTTTGCAAGTTTTTTTTTTTTTTTTAAAGAATAGATGATTGGATTTTTTAAACAGAATGACATTAAAAGGGGTAATTGAAAGCAAAGCTGAGTAGATGAATAACGATAGTCCAGTGGGTCAAATAGATGTACAGACAAGTTAGAATCCCATCGACACCTCCTTTCGCTGCAAATCTCACAATTCTAAACTTCCACCATAAAATGGGCGAATCCAATCAAAGCACCGACGTCAAATCGGGGATGTTGCCTCATTTGGTTCTGGCCTGTACTTTTGTCATGCCACGAAATTGACATACAGACCAGCCCACTGGTTCACAGTCCAAGAACATGAATAGAGGTAGATGTAAGACACCAGTTTAGCTGTTTATTCTACTGTTGGGTTTACTTCTACAAGAATTACAAAGCAGGCAGTTTCTCTATTGAAAATCAGCCAGAACCACAGGCGGAAATGCAGAGCTCCAGGCTGCACAGAGAAAGGGGAAAGTTTTCACCGCTGGGCCACCGACTGGACCGGACCGGTAAGGCAGGCGGTGGGAGGCATGCTGTCTAGGCTACCGTCACAGGGTCGGGTTCTGTGGCTCCGTGCGCCCGTCCACCAGGGTTCCTGGACCAGCCCCGGAGTTGACGGCGCAGTTCGAGTGCCCGGTGTGTTTCGATTGAGTGCTGCACTGTAGTCGACCAAAATCCTGGACGATTTTAAAAATCCCACTGGAAATTTTTTTTAGGTATGAAAAGCAGGACATGTCCAGAAAAAGGGGACATCTGGTCACCTTACCATAGCAACAATTTCGATGTTTCAGTGAGTGAGTGCTTGTTGCTATGATGAGTCTTTGCTCAGCAGCTTCGCTAGTTGTAAACCAACCAATCAGCTCACAGCTCATCTAAATATTCATGAGCATACCATAAAAGGAAGAAAACCTGTTGTTTAATTCTACGGCATATAACCAGGCTTGCATTAGGGCTCATAGAACAGCAAATAAGCCATTTTCAGCCCAACCAATGTTACACACCCTATTCAGAAACCTTAAGCACCAGCACCAAATACTATATATAATCATTCTATGACCCCCTTAAAAGAACAAGAAACGTGTTTTGTAGATCTCCTTTTCCCGTAATTAGTTTGGAAATGCTTCATCTTTATGAAATGTTTTCAGTTTTTTTCCTTATTCAAAAATCTAAAAATACAAATGAACTTTTATGTGTTTCAAATGGCAACAGATTTACTATATTATATATTTGCCAAAAAAATAATGAGCTGTGGTTTTATTTGAAGGGGTATATAATATCAGACGGACTCAGGACAAAATGGCTCTTTGAATTTTAAACTTTGCAGACACCTGATCTAAACCGACAGACAAGGCTTGAGGATCAGCAGTCAAAGGGATCAGCATCGGTGGGAGAACCTGTTTACAAAAAAAGCTAATAATAGTACAAAAATGTCCTTTGAAGTAGAGCGAGAGGAAGATGGCTGTTGTTAAAAGGCAGTCAAATTAACTTTCTACAAATTCTGTCAGGGACACAGCAGTAGGAAGGTGCACTGGTCATATAAAAAGTCCAGAACAGCGACGCTAAGAATGCCAGACATGCAGTGGGAATAAGTAGGAAGGCTGGTCAGGGTTGATGTAAAGATTAATAGAACTACACACTGGACGATATGCCAATATAATAAAGAAAAACCTGCTGTTTCTTTCCTCGTCGTTCAGAATGATCTAAGAAAATGATAACATACAATCACAGTAAAATCCATTGAAGCCTGAGGTTGTTGGAAATGTTCAAACAGTCTGCAAAAGTAGTGTTATTTACCATGCATTCAAAGCTTGTGTTTGCATATCTTATCTGTCTTCTTTTCTGTTCACAGGTATAAAAATCATTCCCATCTCAGTGCTGTCTGACAACTATAGCTACCTTATAATTGACACTGCATCCAGTGTTGCCGTTGCTGTAGACCCTGCAGACCCTCAAAAAGTTCAGGTAAACATTACCATCAGTCATTTCCATCAGTACTTAAGTTTTAATCCTAACATGTGAGCACAATTTCTAATTAGGCTGAAAGTTTGAGGTACTCATGCTTTGTTTCTATTTACAGCAAACTGGTGAGAAAAGCAAATACAGTTATTGGAGCGGATAACTGTCAGGAAGTTAACTTCCTGCTTAGATTTTACAACTTTGGGCTACATTAATACTGCTGGTGGCCTTGATGCTTAATTCGGATTTTTTATTTCTTTTTGCGTTGCCGTTCATTTTTCCAAATATATGCGACTTGTATGTGATCTCCTGTGTGAACTGCAGTCATACAACGCAAGTGTCCAGCATGCGCAGTAGAGGAAGCCATGATGTCACAGGCCAACGTGCTCTGTGTTTACGGAAGTAAACATGGATGGTGCATCTAGTGATCTTTCCAAACCATAAAAACACAATCTTTTCAACGTGGTTAAACATAAATACTGCTCTACGCATCATCGTCCGCCAAGTTTGTTGTTTTTCTTGCCGCTTCTTCATAGCAACACCCAGAATAGTGACCTTTGTGGGGTATTAATGGCGTTCAGGTCGCATGAATGCGACACAGGTCGCATTTGAAAAGATCAGATTTGTATCGGATTCAGGACCACAGAGCCAAGTGGCCTGGGTCGGATTGAAAAAATCGGATCTGTGTTGTTCAGACTGCCATGAAAAGATCAGATACAGGTCGCATATGGGCCAAAAAATTTGCAGTCAGTTTAGTAAGAGGCATGCCCAGTCAGTTCTTTCTCATTTCTCATGCCTCTTTATCAACAATCAGAAACATTTTGCAGCTCTATACTCTATGAAATGCACAGTTCCTGCTGTGTTTTTGTCATATCGTCATTAAAGATCTGCTTCATTCTAACTCTTCAGGCAGTGCTTGAAGAAGAGGGAGCCATGCTAGAAGCTATACTTTGTACACACAAGCACTGGTGAGTATAGAATCATGTGAATTTAGCCAACATCAGAGTTTAGTGGTTGTGGTTTTTTAAGCACTTATAGTTCGAAGCTTATGTTTGGGTAAAATCATCTAAATCAAATCCTTGTGTTGTTCTGTCTAAAGTTCATGTTTCTTTTGTTTTTTTAGGGACCACAGTGGGGGCAACAAAGGTCTGAAAAGGCTACACAGTTCATGTCACGTGTATGGAAGCGCTGCAGATAACATTCCTGGCCTCACGCAGTAAGTCCCAGCCTGCAGAGGCCAGAGCTCAGACACGCACATAACAGTTAGCCTTTTACTGTAATGAGTCGTTCAGTCAGCACTCCAGGCAGCTGACTTCACAGTGCATTGAAATGCAGCCATAAACTGTTCTTCTGTGTGTGGTGCTGGTTAATTTTAAATAGGTAATCCTGGCAGAGTTTATTTATTATTTTTTAGATTTTAACATGTTCATGTGAATCACCATAATTTTTTCCTGAGATCGGTTTGATTTCTTTTTATTCCTTTCCTCTCTCTCCAGCCCCCTCTCACACAGAGACTCTGTGAAAGTCGGTCGGATGCACTTTAAAGCTCTGTTCACACCTGGACACACCGTGGGTCACATGATCTACCTCCTGGATGGCCAAGCAGTCGGTTCCCCCTCCAGTCTCTTCTCTGGTGATCTGGTGTTCCTCTCCGGATGTGGTCAGTTACCCTTCAATGTTTGATAGCTTATAGCCCCATTTACACTACCCTCTGAAAACCGATCCGTGGCGAGTTCGGACCGAGTTAACCATGCTGAGCTCAGTTCCTTACTAGCACACATTACATCAAACTAACACGGTTCCTCGCCTCCTAGTGATGATCTACGGTACTGCTGCTCTCTAGATCTAAACAAGCAAATCAACATGGCGGCACTTGTAACATTCAGGAAGTTTGAGGAGAGTCAGGCGAAGAAGGCAATCTTTGGTGAATTTACTTGACAGTCGGCTTTTGGGAAGTGGATACAACAAACGATAGTCTAATCAGGGCTTACAGACGCAGGAAATAATGACAGACGTTAGGTTCGTCAGACTGCTAAGCAGAATCATCACTGGACATCATGTGGCACGGTAGAGAAGCTAGTATGTTTAGGAATGTCTGATATTTCATGATTACGGAGGCTGACTGTAAGGAGATGACGCGGTCTGCTCTGCGCTCTTTCTTATCTGAGAATCATGCCAGAGCGGAACCGCGTCGAGTCCTGCTGATGAACTAATACCGCTTTATTGCGGTTCGGTTGGGTCTGGCGCGGTCCGGTTCAGTTGTGTGTGCCATTTACACTCGACAGATATCTGGGTTACCGTGCTCGGACCGATCTCGGCACGGTTTAAAAGGTTAGTGTAAATGGGGCTTATGTGTAAAGATTTTCAAAACAGATATGCATCTAATGCTGCAATATAGGCCCACTCTGGTTTTATCAAATCTGCTGGTTCAGAAAAGTTCCTTTCAGAAGACTTTGCATGATTTCTGTAAAAATCTAAAAATTTCAGTATTTTCTAAGTCTGGATAAATATTAAAAAACATAATAATTTATACGTTTCCTGTCCGGTAGCTTTAGTGGTCTTTTCTTCAATCTTTCCTCCTTTGTCTAATACCATTCCTTCCTCCCTCCTTCCTTCTCTCCTTCCCTGTGGTCTATTATTCCTCATCTACTTTCCTTATTTTCTTTCCTGTTTCCCAAATTTACATCATTGTGTCCTTCCTCTGATCTTTCCGTTCTTCCTGTTGAATAATTAAATCGTAGACTCCCCTCCCATCCACTCTTTGTTCAGGCAAGTATTCTTAGTGTTTATCAAGTGAATCAACTTCAAATAGCTTTATTCGTTTATAGCTCTATAAAAAAGTTACTTCCCCAGCACTTTTGTAATATTTTTACTTTTAATAATGAATTTCACCAGTATTCAACTGGTAGTAGTTGTCTTATCAGGCCTCCTTACTCTCGTACAACTCAAACACAGTTTAGTGTATTATACAGAGGATCAAGGATATGGAACAGTCTTCCCACATCACTGACTGATCTTTCTAAAGAACAATTTAAACGGAGAGTAAAATTGCTGCTACTAAGTTGTCTGAATTTTCCATATGGATTTGTGGTCTAAATTATATTTTAAATTGTTTTATACAAAGAAATGTTGTTTTTGAAATGTCTGAAATGGTGAAATATATTTGTTTTAATGGAGACTGCCACTCATTAAGCCCCTTGAGGGTTTTTTGGCAGTTGCCCATCCCATTTTTTTTTTTGTGTGAAACACTATTCTGTTTTAATGGTTTTGTTGTGAAATTTAAAATAAATAAATAAAAATAAAAATGAACCTACTGTAAAAAAAATTCTGCAAATTCATTGTGAGCTACAGTATTTTGTGTTTTAAAATAAAAAACTACCGTAATTTTCTGACTATTAGCCGCACCTGAATATGAGCCACAGAAGCTAAATTGCATGATTTGTACGTATACAAGCCGCACCGGACTATAAGCCGCAGGTTTTTTATGTTTAATGTCCGTCTTTCTCGCTGTCGTTCTGTCTCGTACCACTCGTGGTAGAAGTCTGCTTCCGGAGGACCTCCACATTCCCCCCCGCGTGGCTACCGTACTTGTGTGTTGAAGCAAATGTGACGTCAACATGGTGGATGGTAAAATCCATAGAATTAGGTATTACGCTAGTTGCCGTTAGTTGTAAAAGTCCATAGATAAGCCTCATTCTTATATAAGCCGCAAGGTAGAAAAAGGTCGTGATTTATAGTCTGAAAATTACGGTATGTAAACTCCAGTCTTTAGGTTTTGTGAGAAAATTGTTGGAAGTCCATATAAAATTAAATGAATGTAATCTAAAGATTTTCTTTAATTTATACATTATTTCTAAAGCACAAAGAGTGAAAACGTTTAAGTTGTAATCCACCTACAGCTGTTCTCCTGGGGTGTAACTCTGTTCAGGCACATTGGTCCTTTTCTTTCATACACTCCTCAAAGTGGAAAAGATGGATGCTGGAATTTTACTAAGTCAGGAGTTGGCTGAGAGAAATAGCTGCCTGCCTTATCTTTTTTTATATCATGAGTCAATAATAATTTCTTACTTTAAATCAATTGAAATGAAAATCAATTCAAAAAGGACAATAAAATTAGAAGACAATAGACCCAGGTTTATCTTGCTATTACATGGTAAGGGGAGGATCTTAATCCCCAATGCTCACTATTTGAGAACTGCAGTAGCATCTTGGCGTCTCCAAATGTATCAGATGCCATCTTCCTTCCAGCTGGGATTAAAAAAGAAAGTTTCTCACCTACTGTTATCAAGATTAGTTCAAATGAGATACTAAACTGGACCCTGTTAATCAGATGAAACCAAAACAGATCTTTTGTGCATCAACAACTCCATAAAGATAATATGGAAATTCACTTTTTTGTCATTAAGTGATGGAGGATCCATGGTGGGTTCCTAGAAACCGTTACTGGAAAAATAAAAACAAAATTTTCATCTGTTTTTTTCTGTAGGATATTTATCCAAGAATGCTCTAAAGCAGAGCCTGCAGTTATTGCACTAAATAGTATTGACAATGATACTGCTGTCATCTTTTAGGAAACAGAGGACTACATACAGTAGATAGATCATTTGCAGCACTATTAGTCCTCCTTTGTTTGTAAATGTATTAAAGAGGCTAATACTAGCACTTTGCTGCAACCTGCTTCTATCTTTCATAAGGACAGACTCTCATGGCTCTTTTCCCTTCAGCAGATGCTAATTCTATTCTTTCAACTTGTACTCAACAAGTCAGGACGTGTGTGGAAAAATAAGACGGCAGTGCAATGCTGGAAAACCCACAGTTTTATAACATTTTAAGTAAACTGCTATAGGTGAACTGTGCAGTGAAGTAAAAGTAAAATATTTATTGCAAATTGTGGGTTTCTTTTAGTTCTGCTGTTGTTGTGTTAATGGAATCCCTAACTGTATGATCCGATGATCTGAACTTGATTTTTTTCAGGGAGGATGTTTGAGGGCAGCGCCACAACGATGCTCTCATCGCTGGACACGGTTGTTTCATTAAGTGACGATACTTTACTATGGCCAGGTACGTAAATCTGCTCAGTCGTCAGATATTACAGCTTTTTCTGCAAACTGGCATGTAAACAGAGTTTTTGTGTAGTTGTAAAATGTTTGGAATTTGATGTTTGTATTTTCTTGGTCTGGATAAAGGTAGAAAATAATCATATTTTCAGACTTTAGTAACTTTTCTTGAATATTGTGTCCTTCCTTTCTTTACTTTCTCATTTCTTAATTTCATTTTATTTTATTTTTGTCCTTTCTATCAGATTTTCCCTGCTGTCCTTCCTTCCTGCTTTTCCTTTAAAACTCTTATGTGTCCTTCTTTTCTTTACTCACTTGTGGCCTTCCACTCTTCCTTCTACTTTTCTTAATTTCTCGTGTTCTTTTTTTCCTTTTGTTTTTTCGATTTGTTCCTTTGCTTTCCTTTTGTCTCTCTGCCATGCTTCCAATTCTTTTTTTTTTATCTTTGCGTTCTCCTGTTTTTCCCCCCCTCTGTCCTTTCTGTTTCCTTTCTTGTATTCTTTTTTACTTTTCTCCATCTTACCTTCTGTATCTCTTAGCCTGCTTCCTATTTTTCCTTCCTTATGTCCCTCTACCTCCTTCCCTTGTTTCTTCCTTCCTTTATTTGATTCCAATTTTTTTCATATTGCCATTTAAACCTTCCTGTGAAAGCTAAATAGTCACAGTTCCCCCGTTTTCAACAGTGAACTCGTTTAAAAGTATACAGTAATAAACACTAATTTTTCTTGTCCAGTGTATTATTAACAAAGCTTGATGGAAGTTGTTGAAGCAAAGGGAAGTTTTTCCATAACCCTGTAAATGTGTATTTGCTTGTTTACATTATGTCTCCTCTTTTTACTGCACCGATCTCTCTAGAGTCAGTCCTCTGTGGGCTAAAAGCTTTCAAGTCTAGTTACATGTGAGGCATATTTCTATGTGTCCTCTGACAACCCTGCAGGTCATGAGTATGCAGAGGACAACCTGCTGTTTGCTGCTGAGGTCGAGCCACGAAACGCTGTTAGGGAGAACAAATACCAGTGGGTGCTGCAGCAAAGAGGCCAGAAGCTGTGTTCGGTAAGGATATCTTTTCCATTGTTATGCTTCTCAAGCACACCTTCCCAGAAAGGACTCATGTCGTCCAGCACCTACAACCTAGACTTATCGTCTGTATACAGTTTACACGCTGTTAAAGCTAGGCTCCACAATCCCACCAACCTCCCTCCCTCCCTCCCTCCTCCTTTAGGCTTACTTCATCAGTGATGCAGTCTGCAGCCAGGTGAAGGCTCTAACTTTAGGGCTTACCTGGAATTTAGATTGCTTTTTACCTCTTATCAATGCAACATGGCTGCAGAAGCTGTTTCACTACTTTTTGCAGTTTTTTCAGCCTCCATTCCCAAAACACAGCGTGTTGCAAAACTTTTTATATCTCTTGATCTTTTTTAGTATTCCATCACTTTCTGTTTATAGTCTTCCCTCATTGATCAATGTGGAAACACGGATCGGTTTTGGCTTAATGCTGGAGATGCCTGCGGAGATGTACCAATTAGCAACACCAGAGGACAGCAAAATATGGAAATGATATGCCAATTCAGAGACAACGATTAAAGGGGTGATCTTGTCGACTTTTTCCAAGTTAAAACGTGTGTGTTATGCTACGTTCACACTGGATGTGCTTTGGGCAGCAAAAAAGGGACCGGCTGCTTCATTCTTTATGCTTTTATACATTGTCCGACTCGCGTTAAGAGCATCCCTGATGCTCCTGTAGTGCATCCAGCAAAGTGCGTACAGATGTATCTGATGCTTCTGCTGCCCCTGTCTTCAGTGGCAAAGAGCAGCTTTGCTATATTTGCTGTGTTAAGTTGGTAAAAAAGTAGTTTAATATTTATTTTTTAGTGAGAAAGTCCACCTCAAGACATCGTCTGTGCATGAAGATGACGAACCTGCCTTAAAATATTAGTTTGCTGTCAGAGCTGCTCAGATCCTCTGGCCTGGTCGCCTTTTAGGGGTTTTCTGCTACCTTTGCGGAAGCTGGAAGTAGATGTTAGTGTTTTTCAGGTATGTGGTGCAAACTGTGGTCAACAGCATAATAAAAGAAAACACATTTTGCCGGCAGATTCCGATATTTTTAGTTAATTAGGTGTTTATAAACAGATTCAGAGGAGTGATCATAACCATCTTTATTAGCAGCACTGTGTCTGTCTCCCTGCCACCTCCCAGATCAGTGCGTCACATGCATCAAATGTGCAGAAGCCTTATGCTTCAGATGCATCTAGATGCTCTGCTCCTGCTGCTCGAGACGCACTGCAAGACCTTTGACTTTGCATGTAAACCAGCTGCTTCTACTACTTCAATCGTGTGCGGTGTGAACGTAGCATTAGTGATGGGCTTCAGCTAAAATTTGCGAGAAATAGTGTGTATGAAAGTATGTTTTTATTTTTGATATTATGTTGTCTTGTTCAAACCAAAAAAGCCAACAGGAACTTCCTCTCCACAGAGCCCAGTGTTGGTTCCTCCTCCTTGATTAGAGTCAAACCTGAAAGAATGCTAGCATTAGCCCCTGGTGCTATATTGCTATATTGTGTATGTAAAGTAGCAGATTATGACTCATTTAATCACCATTCAAGCCCTTTCTGTTTATGGTTTTAAAGTTTAAAACTGGGATGCTTCTCTTTCTTAACAGGGTCCGTCTCTTTCCTCATTTAGGAACAGATATTATTTTAATACCAAAATATTTCAAGAGGCAACTATCATGGCCAGCTGTGTTAAAATGTGTCGCTGCAGGGAATTTCTCATCTGCAATTCAAATATAATGTTTGTGTCTAGAAACCCTGATTTCTAGCTCTGTTGGCTTTGCCATTGTATACCAGGCTGTGTCTGCATTTCAATGCCCAAACTTTTTATTCAGTACAAGTAACCTTGTTCAGGTTTAGAAAAAAAAAAACATAACTTTTGATCAAAGGGCTACACTGAGCACTAGTGAAGCAGGAGAATTTACCCTGAGGTCACAGAGACGAGAAACTGGTTAGGAGGGTTTTAACAGTCGGCCTTTACCCAGAGATCTTTCAAATTAATGGCCCTGTTATAAAAAAAAATAAAATCTTAACCTAAAAGTGTTGCTGTGAAAAACATGATATTTTAATTTATTTTGTTAAAGCTCACATATGTAATAATGACAGGGATTTATGACAGAAATGTGATATATTCCACATAAGTATGGTATCCATTAGGGGCTAAACAAACAGATTAATCAAGAAAACCTGCAGTTCTGTATCTCAATGCTGCCTCTCTTAGATAATATACTTTTTATTTTTTCCATCTGGATGAAGAACATAAGGAGTTAAAAGACTGCTTAAATTAATTTATGCTCTTGAATGTTAAAGGGTGAATAGGGATGACGTCCCATGTGTTAAGGCCTATTAACATAGCTTGGTTTAGTTGAATCTTCTTTAGTTGAATGGAGATGGACTCATGTTACAACAGAAACATTCTGGATTCACACTTTACTCTCAGTATAGCAGAAAGATGAATCTTTAACTCTTTTCTCTGAATCGTACACTTTGCCCAATTGTGTTACTTTGTAGGAAATCTAACTGGCCCAATTTTATTTTTCATATTTCTGACTAAAAAATCTACTATTTTAATTCAGGTTCCTGTTATCAGAAAGCAGTTTTTACTCATTTTTAATCCCTCAGTGTTGCAGCTTCATAGTAATGTACTGAGTTCCAGGTGCTGTTGGCTCATGTTCGGGGATTTTCTTGGAAAAAGGAAGTCACATCTGACTTCAGACAGACATTTTGGCTTGCTACAGAAGGGAAATGCCAGGTGTTTGCTAATAAGATTAGCATAGGCTCTGGTCTATCCATGTGTTCCACAAAGCCATGGCAGTGTGATGGTGAACGGCTTCGAACTGAGCCAAGACGCTGACACCAAAGCAGCCTAATGAGATTCAGGCTCTGTTCGTGGTTTCTGTTTAGGGTTGATTTTCACAGTTCCATGTGTTCTGTGTAAAATCTTACAGTGTCCTGGCATCATGTTCAACTAAAACTGCCAGTTAAATGGGACTTTATCTGACAGACCAACACAAAAGTAAAAACACAATTTTTAAGATTATTTTATTATTGTTTATTTCTAATAATTTATAAAATTATTAGTGAACTTTTACTACCTTTTGCATCATACCAGTATCAATTCTTACAGGAACACAATTTGAGAGATTTTGTAGGCTTATTTATATTCAGGTATGTGATCAATCACTGATCATCAGTGTCACATGTATATTGAAACAGCTTTACAGGAGGCTTAAAACTGGGTGAGGAACAGCTAAACTCTGCTACCAAAGTTGGGGAAGACAGTTTAGAAGATGTCCAGCAGTCCCATCAGCACAGAGCAACCAGAAACCAGTGAGACCAGAGCACTCCCTTCTACTGTCTGGAGATGTCTGGCCAGAGGTTGTCTTCATGGAAGAGATGCAACCAAAGGGCCTCACCTATGTAGAATAAAGGCCAAACGGCTCAAGTATGCTTAAAAACACAGGAACAGGAGTTCAGAAAAATGGCAGCAGTTGCTCTAAATTGAAGAGTTAAAATGTGAAATATTTGGTTGTAGCAGAAGACAGTTTGTCTGTCAAGAGAGCGGTACAATAATGAGTGTGTGCATGTAAAAGTGATGCATGATGGAAGTTCCTTAAACATTAGGGGGTGCATTTCTGCAAACGGGGTTGGAGATTCGGTCAGGATTAATGGCGTTCACAATGCTGAGAAATACAGGCAGACATTTAGCCATCGTACCATACCATCAAGGAAGCAAATGATTGGCCCTAAATTTGTTCAAGTAGGACAAAGATCCTAAACATACAACCAAAGTCATGGAAAACTACCTTCGGGGTAAAGAATGAGATCAATGGTGATGAGCCCTGATCTCAGCCCCATGAAGTGTGTCTGGGATTCCATGAAAAGTCAGAGAGAAGTGAGAAAAACTACAGACGATATGCGTTTGATTCTCCAAGATGTTTGGACAAACCTACCAGCAGAGTTCCTTTAAAAAAAATGTATGCAGGTTTATATAAAATAAACAATGCTTTTTGAAGGCAATGGGTGGTCATACTAAATTTGGATTTCTCTTTTGTTCATTAACTGTATTTTCTTGGTGAATGAAAATTAATTATTAGAACTTTATTTTATTTTACACCTACATAAAACGTTTGAACTGTACAGAAAGTCTATAGCTATGAATAATTTTGCAAGGTAGTGTAGAACTGAAGGGTTCATATGAAAAATGTAAAAGCACCCTGGTTGTCTTCAGATTCTTATTCTAAAGTTATATTACTTAAAAAAATACTACTTACATGACAAATAAACAAACAAGGATGTTATATTAGGTTTTTTCCATTGCTATTTTAACTATTCATGATAATATTCAAGTTGTTTTGGGGATTTTAGCTGCAAAGAATAATGAATACAGATACACAGGGCGAAATTCAAACTGCGTCAGACTTTCAGGGATTTCCAGCCACAGGAATCCCTGACTGCATTTATTTCCTTTCTCCTAAAGAGAAAAGAAAGTGCTTTAGCTTTCTGAGATGGAATTATTTATTTATTTATTTTTTTTATGTGCTTCCTATTCAGAGTCCCTCCACCATCGGGGAAGAGAAGCAGTACAACCCTTTCCTACGCAGCCACTCTGCAGAGCTCCATCAGGCTCTGGGGATCCAGCAGCTCCCAGATGAAGACTGGACCCAGTTCAGGGCAAGGGTCTTGGAGGAACTGAGAAAATGCAAAGACCACTACAACAGGAGGTAGTGAAACAGGACTGCCATACGACAATATAAAGAAAAGAGCTCACTGTTGGTGGAAATGAGTGATCTTTAAGGTTATGGTATTTGAAAGTTCATGAATGGGCATTATGACATTTTGAAATTAATCTGTGACCAAAAGGACCAATAGGTGCATCTTCCCCATTTAATCATACCACAACATATAATAGACCCATTTCCCTCCAGGGGTTGTAGGTTAATTACAAATGTATTTTGTAATCTAGATTAGAAGGAGTGCTAAATCACTTAGGCAGACTATAAATGCACATACAATAAGTGAGTATGTTGTGGTTGATCTACAAAGATGGCGTACACGATTCATAAGATGCACAAACAGGTTTGATAGCCCTGAGTTAAATGGGTAAATTGCATGTAGAGAGCAGCTGTGAAAGTAAGAGGAAATATTGCCATGGATTGGAGGTAATGGATACTTAAAAAATAATAATTATATAGGATATGGATATCATTTGTACTCTACATATGGGTAGGTCAGACTGTTGCAAATAAAAAAGAAACAATTAAAAATCCTGATTTATACCTGTTTTACACCTGTTGAAGATCAGCTTTGGGTGTGCTAAAAAGTTTGCACTTGTTTTACTACACAAACTCTAAAGATCAGGTCTGTAAAGCTGCATGACTGATGTTTGGTTGTTTTACAAGTAGCTTCAGCCGGGTTTGTGTTATCGGTACCTTAAGCAGTTTAGCCAGTGAGGTACTGAATTGTTTGCTCTTACTGTAAACTACAACTCGGAGGACTTCTAACTGATGAGGTTTCATCTGCAGGCCTTTTGCACGGTTTCAAGTCCTGATTAAGACTTGTTTTTTTCTCTGTCATCATTTATGGACTGAAGTGTTTGGTTTTGATATATGTTTTTGTAATGCAAACTTCAGAGTTACATTGAATTGAACAAATTCCATAATGCGCTGATTTTAGATGGCACCTCAGCCATGCAGAAATTTTCCTGCAGTTTGATTTTAGGCAAAGAAGAAAAACACTATTTCTTTGTAGAGATTATTCTAGGGAATGTTTTCTGTTTTTTTTCCTCAATTGTGTGCATACTTGAAGGTTCTTTTTTTTAGTGGGGATGCGTGAATTACTTTCAAATAGTCAGTGGCCTATCAGCAGTAGACAGCAATCAGAGCTTTTCTAGTGTCAAAACACAAAACAAAATGAGACTAGTAGGCTCAATTATAGGGTACTAAACTGGGAAAATATTATGGAAACTTTATATGATCAATCTGACTTTGCATTGATTAAATCTACAGTACCTGCATTTAGTTCATAGAAATGTTTGCTGACATGATATAAAGTAAAATGCAGCACCTTCCACAAATATATGTCTCCTAATGCAGGGGAATAATCCCAACATAAAGAAATTAGCCTTGAATTATTACTTAAACTTTAATCTCAAAGTTTGGAAAATCATTAAAGTTTTTTATGGATCTTTATTTTACTAAAGTGAGAAGTGTTGAACTTTTTCCTAAATATTGAAGCGGATCCCAATCTTTTTTAGACTCCATTTTCAAATGAGGATCATGGCGAAACATGCTTAGTGAGAGAAAGGGTTCACCTGACTTAATTTGCAAAGATATCAACTACAAGCAACAGGGCTTAATGAGGAGTTGAGAGAAGATGGAAAGAATGTAAAAAGAAAAAAATATTCTCCAAACCACTGAGTTAAAAAAAAGAAATTACTGTAATATCAGGTTTCCTATAGATCTTTTCCAGTGGGGTTGATATACAAGGAGCGTGCAGCAGCATGTGCTCAGTTCTTCAGAAATGATACTATGGTTTTACTGGTACCAGGTGCCAACGCACAGTAGCTCATGTTGTATCTTGAGGCTGAAGTGTCAAAATATCTGATCTCATAGCTCTGATTGCTGTTTATGAGAGTTTTAAAAAAAAATCTCTTTTTCAAAGTGCTTCCCCTTTTCTTCTTTGTTTTTGATTAAAAAACAGAAATAATATTTCAACTCTTAAAGTGTACTAAAAGTTGTGAAGGTACGGTGGTGTAAGTTCTGTAACCTGAGTGAAATATCATTGAAGGGAACTTTTATTTTTTGTTTTTGTTTTTTTACTGGCAGCCTGCAGAACTGATACTGGATTTAATATGAAGAAAACTACATTCAGACTGGTGTTGAATAATTAGCATACAAGAACATTTAGCAGAAAATGGGTTCAGACAAGTTAAGCAAAAAAGGTAATTTTGTCTTTCTCTTTGAAACATGAAACTTCCCTGTAGTTCTGACTGAAAGAATGTTTTTATTTGACCAGTTAAAATGTATATAAACGTATTTATGTTGTATATTACTGAACTATCACGGTACAGATTTATTTGCGGCTGCATGCAATCAGCTAAAAAAGATGTTGGTCACTCACACAGAAGAGGATGCAAAATGTTCCTTTTATTGCTTTTTGGTTAATGTTATGACAGAAAGTGAATTGATAAAGCCCCTACCAAAGTACTCCACACCAAACTGATGCATGAATGACGCACCAGCTAAAGACCAGGCTATTTTATTTTAAAGAATTGAAGTTTCCAGTAACAGGGTGACAATGATTTTGGAGCAGTGCTTTATTGCACGTCTAATGTCCTAAAAACGCCTGGATAGCAGACATCATGCTTTTGATTTTAGGCATCTTTTCATAGGGTGCCCCACAAGGAACCTGTGAACAAAATAAACACCTATAAAATCTTGAACAGTGCCATCTACTGTTCACTTTTGCACCACTTGAATATCATTTTATGTTTTATTATCTAGTTCTGTTCTAATTTTGCATTCAAAGTTATTCTTTTCTTTAATATCTTTCCATTTTCATAAGGTTTAGACCAAATAAGTCAAAGTAAACTATTGAAAATCTGCTTTTCTGCGACCTTGGAGCCTCTTTTATTGCTAGCATTGATTTCTCTTTCATTTGTTTTGTCATAAATGAGTCAAAACGAAGCTAATGCATGTGCATAATTATTTTTCAACTTGCTGTAATCTTTCTGAACCAGACTGAGCCAAAAGCAGACGGATATGTGTAACCTTGGCTAATGTGTCCCAAACATCCCGAATAGAAAACAGCCTAAGGGATTTATTATGCTGTGATAAGACTGTGCATCTTTTAGTAAAATATATCAACATCTTTTATTGCACAATATTGTGATTTCCTTGGGCAATTTACAGAATCTGTAAGAAATGCACAATAAATGTTATTTGTATTAAGTTTTTTTTGCTGGTGTTTTATCATTTTTCAAGCTCTTTGAATTTGGGCCTCTTTTATTAGTTAGAAATGTTTTCATTCTTTTTTTAATAATTTGAACTGTTTTTATAGACTTTTTTTGTGTTTGGAAAATGGCCTTTGTTGTTTTACCACTGATGTACAATGTAAGGAATGATGAAATTAATACATCTAAGCCTAGAACAGGGATGCATCACAGAGATAAAAGTAACTCTTAACTATAACAGTTATATATCAATAATTAATGTACAAAAATAAAACGTCCACATGGTTTATGCTTTAATGCTCAATGAGTTCTGGTTGATTTTGTGTTTTTATGCTTTATATTGTTGTAGGTCCTACAGTTGCCTACATTTTATAGTTTTTTATTTTATTTTTTATAGTTTATAAGCCTAAAGGTTTTACATTCTTGAAATTAAATCATTCAGTCCATGTATCCTTTTATCCACTGAGCTCCATTTATCCCATCTGAATGAAATAATGCTGTGGATTCATGTTTTCTCAGAACTACGCAACTGCCTAAGCTTTCAAGGCACAAAATGCCATGAGAGGCCGATTAGCCAATCAGGAGCTGAGATGAGGAACTATGGAGATAGCAAAGTAGAAAAAAAAAAAGTTTTTTGTCATCTTTTCACATTCAAACCTAACATCAGCATTTCAGGGAGGATTCCATTTGATCATATCCGTATCAAAGTTGCACGTAAACATGAAATATTTCACATTCTGGACCCTCTGAGAATCTAAATCAGAGAATGAATGTAAGACATTTAATAGACATTCAGACAAAGCTTGATTTGAAGCACAACAGTCATCAAGGTCATAAAATATTTCTTAATTCAAGACCCAGCAACACCATCTGGAATCAAAAGGTTCAAACTATTGTATATCAAGGTCATTTAGAAGGTAACAGAGGTTCTTGCGACAGTATTATTATTACAGTTTGAAAAAAAGTTAAACATTTAAAAAATATTTATATTGTGACACTTTTCCATGTTCCACTCTTTAAAAGTTGCAACTTCAGATGATTGGTCATTAATCATCCTTGTCTCCATCGTTCAAAACGTCTTTATTTAGTCCTTCCATCCTTACTTCTGTTTATTTATCCATCTCCTTTGATTCTAAGTTTTTAATCCCAATTTAAAAAGGGGACAAAATTTGACAAAATCTGAAATAAATGATAGTAAATTGATTCATTCTAAATCTAAATAATAAATTCATAATCCTTGTGGCTATACTGTTAGAAAAACTAAAGAGGATAAAAAATTCAGGAAATTAAGGCAGAATAGGTTTGGAATTGTGATTTTTCTTCTTTTTTTTATGGATAAAACATTTAATCTCAAACGTTTGTAAGAACACTGTTTTAAAGCTCCATTTTAAGAATTATTGTAGAGATTCCATTTCCTAAATGTTTCAACATTTTCAGGTGTTTTATAAATTGGTATGTTAAGACTAAGAAAGGAAACAAAAAAACAGGCAGTCCAGGTTTTAGTTTAGACTTTCTAACAATGTATTTGTATTGTTTCAAATAAAGAGTTTAATTTAGAAAGTTTGCATCTTAATTAGATTTTAAAGAAATACCAAAATGGTAACAATCTTATAAAAAAAAAAGAAAAGACAACAACAACCTTTGTTCAGATATTGAAGGGGAAGAATGAAATAAATGAATCTTTAAACTTTGGAAACATTTTGTAAGAACTTAACATTCTTCTGCAGATGAGCACCTGAGCATTTTCACCCCTGGTGATTGTTGACTGAGATGTTATTGCATTTTGTTTGATGAAAATTCACACCTTATTTACATACTTTTGAGCTCTAAATATCACCACTCGGGAGACTGTTTTACTTCAGGTTATGTTTTAATGAGCGGGTATGAAAGCAGACTCCTCCATCAGAGGTGTGTTTGCTATTTGTTGTCTTTATGAGTCTTGCACGCTGACAGCTGGGTTATTTTTTCATCTCCAATAACTCTTAAATAACATCTTAACCTACTTTGTCGAAATATACTCTGAGAAACGAGATGGTGAAGTTTTAGGTGACAAAGCACTACAGTTAAATATTTCAATATTTAATACCATGAACTAGTATTTTGTATCACAAACGGATTACAAGTCTAATTTATGGAAAACTGATATTGAACAAAAATAATCACATAAAAACAAAATGGTGTCTTGTTTTGTTTTTTTACAATAAGAAAAATTTTATATTTTGAACACCTTACACTCTTTTGGTTATGTTTTTTGTTTAAGAAGATACTGAAGATGATAATTAAAGGCCGATTTTATCTCCATAGTACAGCAAGCCTGACAAAACTAGTTAAAAAGTGGACTAAAAGGAAAAAGTCTTCAATAAATGCAGTAAAGGGGAAAAAATATAATTAAATTAGAGTAACAAATTATAAAAGGAGGAGCTAAAACAGCAAAAGACCACGTTACAATGCTAATTGGATTTACAATTAGAATTAACCCAAATGAAAACCCAGGGAAAAAATGGAGTTTAGATTTAAAAGATTGGGTTTATTCTGCAGAGGGAATATCAAATCTTCGGGTTTCAGTGTCCAGGAATGCTGCTGTAAAAGCCTGATCCATCTGTCCTTTACTTTAACTTTACTGCTTAAGGGTGATTAAAATGCTGTGTTGGGTTAATAACAATATTTTATGCCTCCTTTACTAATTTTCTCTTTTTTTTGCCAGATTTTCATCTTTCAGATGATTATTATTTTTTACAATCAATAAAATAAATGATATACAGTATAAGTCCATAGTGCTGCACTTTTCATGGTACATATTTCTCACCACTGAAGGGGCAAATTGGAAAAAAAAAATATATAACTTGTTGTGTATTTCTTCACAAATAACCCGGTTGTCCAGCCCTCAGCTATTACTTTAAAAACTATCAACAAACCTAAACAGGTAATATTATTGTAACATTTTTATATTGATTCCACATATTTAAAGTTAATCAAAAACCCTGCTAACCCTATATCAGTTTAATTCTAAATTACTTCAGCTTTTTAAAAATTAAAAATTGTCAGACCAAATCCACCAGTCTAAAACACACCTTTCTAATTTAATTTGCTGGAGCTCTTAAGTTATTCATGTATAATGAATGTTTCTCGTTGATATGAGTTGAAATACAACAATGATATGTAGCACTGATGAATAAAGTGCTAATTTCTCACAAAAAGGAGTGACAAGGCATTTCTCTAATTGTAGTAATGCATGGATGCAAGATTGTTCCTCTCTTTGTGTTACTCTTTAATGCTGTCCATACATCAACAGTGCAAAAAAAACAAAAAAAAAAAACTTTGCAAAAAGGTTCAATGTATTGTACTGGCTCAAAAATGTATTATAAAATAAGCTTTGTATGAATTATTATTGTTGAACTGATGTAGAGCAGAAAAGGTGCAAATGCAATGAGAGCAGGTAAGTAAATTAATGTAAAAACATGAAAACATATTTCCAAATAAAGGAGTACCAAATTAGTTTGTCCTCTTTTACAAAAATAATTATGCCATTTATATACCTTAAATGGCAATGTTTAACCCCTTCAATGCCAGACCCAAAGTTACACATTTTCATTTAAACCAGCTGCAAAGAAAAACTTTAATTAGAGATGTGTTTCTTCTGTTTGAAATAATGTCTGTTGGTTATTTCACTTATTTCTGGTCGTCTTCTACCAAAAATTAAGGTTTTTATTAATTTATTTTGTGTTTCTGTGTGTAAAAACTGACTCCGAGGTAAATGTGATGCCTTAGAAGCAGAACAGCGCCTTCCCAATACGCTCCAGCTCTGTCACGTGATCTACTCCGTGATTTTACGGTAATCTCGTAGAATCACAAGTGGTACGTAGATACGGAAGTGTACAGTCAGCTGTTCCAGGCAGACCTGTCAAGTGTTTTTCTGTGACAATACACCCCCTCTGTCAACATGCTGAAGGCGATCATTTTAATCGGAGGTCCCCAAAAAGGTGAGAATTTATCTGACTTTACTCCTAGTTCCACTTTTCGGTCATGTTGGTGTTATTAAAGAGAAGCTAATCTGCTAATGCTATCGAACAGGCTGAGCTTGTTTATAATGACGTGGCTTAACGTGAAAGACACAAAACAAGACATGTTTTATCAATGTTTAATGTATTTGAGAAGATGGGATACTATTGTTCAGTGAAAAGTAATTGGATTATTAACTTTGTTTCAGGGACAAGATTCAGACCATTATCTTTTGAAGTTCCCAAACCCTTGTTTCCAGTGGCTGGTGTCCCCATGCTTCAGCATCACATTGAAGCATGTGTCAAAGTGAGTGATTTTCTCTTTATCATCTGCTATAGATGCAGAACTGCATCTCTAAAGATCTGTCAAAGTTTTATTTCTGCAATTTAATGTCATCAGTGAAACTCATACATTCATTACTCAGTAACATTGTCCACAGAAATGTTTTGTTTTGCAAATGTTTGTGGTGTAAAGCCAAGGAAAGGTTTAGTTTAAGGAAAACTAATGATAAATAAGGATGCTTAAAGTAGAAGGATTACTGCTGCCTTTAGGGGATTGTGAAGAAAAGTCAATTCAGATACACAACAAAGAAAGGACAACTTGTCTGACATATACTCCATAGAATAATTTATGGGTTATTGACAAGAGGAAGATGAATGCCTCCATCCCATCTCTTATTTATATAGAAATGAATGCATTAGCAGCTCTCCTGTATATATTTAGTACATTTGCTGTGGAATAAATAGAAATAATTGTTTATTGAAATTATATGTTTATTTATCTGTTTAATTATCTGAGCAATTTTACCCATTTCTTTTAAGGAATTATAATGGATCATTTTTTTAAATAATTTATTACATTTGGGACTATGTATCCTCAGACTGAATCTCACACTGATTATAGTGCATCATTTCATAATTTTGATAAAGGGATCCAGAAACTGACTAAATGTCTCCTTTTCTGGCCCCACTTTGCATTTTTTTCAGTTTTTTTTTTTTATTTAGTTTTTTTAATTCAGCTCGATAGTTTTGCATCTAACAAACAAATGTTGACAGCTTTACGGGTGAGATTTATAAAAGATATAAACACTCTGTCAAGTCTTAAAACTTCAACAGGAAAATGATCTGACATATTACCACATTGCAAAGTCATTTAAATCAAGTCAAAGAAAAATATTGTATTATTTGTTGAACTAAATAGAAAAGAAAAGAAAAGCCTTTATGAAAGACTAAGGATACTCAAAAGCCCAAAATGTAGTAAGAAATGATGACTAACCTAGAAACTAAGCTAAGGATACCTATTTATTATTGGGATGCCAAGGTAAACTGGTACTGTGATTGTCTTGTTCCTGGATGCTAATCACAATTAAGTAAAGAATCAAATGGCAAAGAGGCTTCACAGAGAATATAAAATTTTTTTTTATTAAAAACCAAACTTGTTTTGTAAAAAAAAAAAAAAAAAAAAAAAAAATGTGGGACAACCTGCCAC